TCAGTGTTTGACCACATTTCTAAACACCTCGAGGTTCGTCAAAAATACTCCGCTGCGCGTCGCATTGTCAACTCTCTTCTCGGTGTTTGGAAATGTGGTCAAACGCGGTCTTTCGTGTTTGATACATTGCATGAAAATAACAAAAGAATATTAAACAACAATATTTTCACAAAATGCAGGGAAATCCAAATTAAGCTTATCGGACGTTGCTTGCGAGTGGGCTGAGATGACCTTAGAATGTTAGAAGTTTCTCAACCATCTCTTCGTGCTAACCATGATCCTTCGCGCGCTGCATAGTATATTGTTATATAGTGTATTGTAGTAATTATTAGACTTAGTTGAGGATAGTGTTGCAATTTTTGTGGTACATTATTATCAAGCGCATGATCATGGTAAAGGTAGGTTACTTAGGTCTTTGTTTGTTATGTCCCTGATAACTTGTTCAAAAGCCACTGGACCCCAAACCTATTTGTGTTGCCACGTAGTGCCTCGTACATTCATAGCGACCGTGCAATCGTTTTACATACTTAAGGCCGGTCACGTACAGCCTTGTAATTCAGTTGTTCTTCACGTGAGAGCATCTTGATAGAAGAAGCTTATGGGATAGTCTCAAACAGGGGAAGCCACAGTAGAAAGACTGGCAATATAATAAAAAAATGAGCTTTTCTCNCAGAGAACTGAATGTCCCAACAACAACATCGACTGCCTACCATCCAACCTTACATATAAAAATCTGATAGATATTTTAAAAACGTACAGCAGGAATGGAGATCACGGGGAAACGTTTTGTGAGCGTCACAAGGAGAAGGTCAAGTTTTACTGCGAGCAGTGCGAGATTTGCATTTGTTCTGATTGCGCCATATTGGATCATCGCGATCGGGATTGTCACAACATCATTTCGCTTGAAGAGGGAGCAAAGAAGCAGAAAGCAAACATTGAGAGAAAGATAACAGCGCTTTCAGCGAATAGCTCTCGTTTAAAAAGCTACGCTTCTCTTCTGGAGAAACGAAGAGCGCTAACGAACAAAAGTATCGAGGAAGCGACGGAAGAAGTCCACAGGGTAGCTGAACGCTGCATAAATTCGATCCGCCAACACGAATCAAACGTGACGGAACTGTTACAGACGCAGAAGTCAAGTTGCAATGATGAGTACTCCAAGGAGCTGTCTAAACTAACCGAAAAGATACGACAAACGAAGAATGTCGCGGCCCAGAGCAAAAATGTTCTTCAATGGAATAATTTACAGGAAATGTTGAACATAAAACAAGTGCTTGATGAAAGAATTGCCGAGGAAGTTTTACCGGTGCTTACTTATCCTGAGTTTAAGTACATTTCAGATGATGCTTTGTCCCTACATTTTACTCCAGGACAGCTCTATGTAACCAACACCGAGCCGTCACTGTCTGTCGCGACAGGTAATGGGTTGACCAAAGGTACGCAAGGCAAAAAAGGCACTTTTACAGTAACAACAAATGATTCAAAGGGCCAAGCAACCTACAGTGAAATCGACAATGTCCGTGTCGACATCAAATCCAATCAATGGGAAATTGAAGATATTCGGTCCGTTGCGAAGGACTTGAAAAATGGCCATTATTCTATATCTTACACTCCAAAGGTTGCTGGAAATTTCAGTGTGTCCATCAAAGTAAGAGATGAGCCAATCAAGGAAAGTCCATTTACATTGGTGATTACGAAGAATAATGGCAGTCTAAAGCTGGGTAAGCATAGGCTTGTAGATTTTAACGTAATACGTCATGCATGCTGGCAGTCTCGCACCTTGGGAAAGGGCGGAGGAACCTTTTTACCCAGAGAAAAGGCGTACATTGAAAGCCGCTTTACTACCTGAGATGTAACGCTTTGCATAGCGCATGAGATTACAGCGCTACCTGATATAAATAACAAACTAAGATGGCGAGCTCGAGATTCTAAGTATGAGGTGTTTCCAGGAAACTTCGAGAAATGAGAGAAGCTCGACCTTTTGTGAACAACCTTCTCAATGCAATGCATGGCTGATAGTGCACAATAGCTCAGTTTAGATTAGGGCGTTTGTATCACTATGGTATAATTGTAAGACTCAACTAATTGCTGTTTATTTTTATTATTATTATTATTTTTTCTAATTCAGATAGACAGGTTAACAAACATTTGATCGAGAAGGCGGGTTTTGACTAAGCTAACCTCAACAGTAAATAAACGTAAATATTATTTAGGGAAATCTTATTCTGTTTGAGATGAGTGAGATAGGCAAGTGTTCCAGATAGGGGAAGTCTACTGGAGCCAAGAAATGTTTAAGCAAGATGTAATCTCTGAAATTATTTTATTATTTACGATGATTCGGTATTATAGTAGGGTGACACACAGCTTACTAAAGTAAGATATCGAGAAAATGGAAAAGCAAAATTGTTTCCTCAGTAATATCAGTCGTTTTGTGGTAGGCTCTCGGTCAGTGGAAAGAAAAACTAGTGGCTGGGGGTTTGGGGGAGAAAAATAAAGGAATGGTCGGTTCCTATTGGGTAAAATTATAATTTGAAAAGCTTAAAAGTGAGTTTTAAAGGTTTAAATCAATACATTGCCGTGTACGATCGTGCGATCGGCCGCACCTGAAGTCGACAATAACAAAACAAACAGAAAAACAAACAAACAAAAACAACAACATCAAAAACAGACGTTAGTCGTCTCTTCTAAGACCTATTTACAAACACTGATAAGTGCCAAAGGCGTACTGGATAACCCAGAGTCCTTGTGATGTGTTCGTGATTCATCTCGTGAGACATTTTTGTTTTGTTGGCACGATTTAACACATGTGTACATTCCTCTCCAGGTGCCCCACTGGAACTAGTATCGCAACCCTATGGCTATGTCCGAGAGTGCCAAGTACCACGTACAAGTACCGGGACTCATGGTAATGAAATAACCCTTTATAGTATATACACACTCAGCGATCTTGATTTTGCAAGCAATCTAATTGGTTCGCTATTTCGGGCTAATGAGCATTCTTCACCTCTTAGTGAGTGAATAATGCATGACACTCGCGTTTCGCCAGTGTCCTGAGAATACAGGAAGATGCTGTACCAGAAAATACAAAGAAGGCTATGAAATTTGGCCCGAAAGTTTTCAAAGGATAGAAAAAACTTATCGATGTTCGACTTTCGAGCAGTTTCAGGAAATGTCCTTGGCAATCACTGATTTCATCAATTTAAACAAACCCGACCGACAAGTCGCTTTTCACTCGGCATTGGCAGAAATAAATGCCGCAAGTTTCTTCGGCAGAAGCATTAAGTGCTATTCAACGAAGCACGTCCACAAGTTTTCAGGAGAACGTCTTTGTAGAAGAAAACATCCAGTCCTGCTCACACGCGGTATAATTTCCGGTTGATCTTTCGCCAACTGCTCTTTCAGTCTCCATTTCAAGTGGAAATGAAAACATTGAAAATATTTTGCAAGCAGACTTTTGATTTAAATTGCTGATTGGACGGTGTTAAAGGACCATTTTGCTAAATTGTGACGAGGATTTTATCGAGGATTAACCAGGTTTTTCATGTTTCAAGGTTATGTAAATACAGCTTTGCACATGCTTTGTACCGCTTGCATGTCAGTGCCAGGCACGTATGGGTTGAAAGGTCAATTAAATCGACTTTTAATGGTTTCCCTCTTAAAATGTTGAGATCGTCTGTTGTTGAGACACTTCGTCTGTATATACTAAAACAATTATCCTTTTTAATCTCGGGGAATAGCAGCAGAATATTTACCTCTCCACTCTGCCACTATTCACCTCGATTTCAAAGAATAATTCTTAATTATCAAACTTGTCTTTATCTGTTTTATGTTTGAAGGAAGGGGTTAATTAGCTGTCGATTCAAGGAATCATGATGCACAAATCCGTGCTATCGATTTGCAATGTGCCGGTGAAACCAACTTAAAGAAGCAGAAAGCTGTCTTTTTCGGCCAGATTCTTGACAGAATCGTCGGCACATTTATTTAAGATAGCAAATGCTCCAGCCAGAAGGAATCTGGAGTGTTTGCACCAGAGCGCGCCATTGCGGGAATCCCACGTTGCAATCAGAGATGGCCCCCAGAAAACGAAGGAAGGGCCAATTTGGTCCTTTCCTTTTACAAGATTACATGCTTAACCAGGCGTAGTATTTTAAAAGCCATCCCAGGGCTCGAAATTGCGACCGATACGGTCACCAATGTAACTAACATTTCATCCTTGGCGACCAAAATTCGGCAAAAATTCTGGTTTAGTCAACATAATGGCGACTACATTTTTCTGTGTTGACGATCAATCCGGTTATTTTGTCACACATTATGTCCTTTTAGACAATCATATTGAAAGATCTTTGCTTCTAAAACATTCAACATAAGAAAACAAGTCAATCCATCTTTTTGTTCTGCTGTATTGATTATCTCGCATCGGAAAACTTCCAAGTTTGAAATCGCCCTATAATGCATTGCAAACCCTTGATCATTGACTATGTCGTATGCCTAAGGACTGTTCTCTTGTAATGCACGGATCATACTAGTATCTGAGTAGAAACGCTTCAAAAAGCACTTACTATTAAATTTTATCCTAGATCCTAATAAACTGCTTTATTTTTCTTGGTACCCTGACGCATTTTTCCTTCTGCAGCTTTCCAATTTATTGGCCCGTTTCCTAAAAAAATGGCCCCTAAAAAAAGTCTTCAGGGGCCACTTTCGCCCTCAAGAAACAGTTTCTGGCTGAAACACTGTTAAATTTTCGATTCAGTGATCGTTTTGAAAAGGTTGTTGATGATTCCTGGGATTTAAGAGCCATTTCGTATTCGCTGTTACTATAATTTTCAGAGGTGTACTTAAACATTGGACGTCACATTCGCCGCGCTTGGCGGTGAATATAACATTTCTGAAGCTTGGTTACTAAGCTCTCCATCTTTGCCATCTTGGCCTGGCGGACAGTTGCTGAATAAAAGTTTCGTTTGTTCAAACATAGTTAGTAGAGGAGACTACTAACTATGGTTCGAAAGACATCACTCCAAGTTCACGATATTTGAAAGCATGGGGAATTTTTCAAAAATTTAACAAGAGTCATTTTAAATAGACTACGAGTAGTCCTTCTTTTGCTTAGTCCGTCGTGCGTGACGCGAAAGAAAACCTCGAGAAAAAAATGCATGTTTTTCTCGCGCTTTTCTTTCGCGTCATGCACGACGGACTGAGCGAAAGATGGACTACTCGTAGTGTACATTTTAAACAAAACAAACGAACAATCGGGTCTTGTTTTATTCCGTTATTTCGTAGCAGAAGCATATCACCTAGAGTAGGTGATATGCTTCTGATGACCAAAACGGCTGAAAAACCTTACCCTTTGGGGCCGCACATATCTATATTGCCCATGTAAAGGAGTACCCCCCCACCGGCGAATCGACTAACCGTCAGTTTTTGTAAGACTTCCCTGATTTTATCTTTATCACGAACAGCATCACAATCCAGCGATCTTGTCTATTCCAAGCATTAAAAAGCTTTGAAAAGGTATATACTATTAGCAAGCCCTTTTAAGTTGTCTGGGTGACGTGGTGATGTATGGTTTGAACTGCATTCAATCTGAGAGACCTGGGTCGAATCTAACACCGTTCGCCTCACTGAAACTGATTTTTAAAAACTTGTTTCTCCCGTGACGCTTGACAATTAGATAGTTTAAATTCCGTTTCGTGTCACCTTCTTTTTAAACTCAGGTAATCTATGCGGTTGCTACGCACGGGAACCTTCTCAACAGTAACGTTCCATGCTTAGATTTTTAAGCAATCGTGCTAAGTTATGTGAAGACTACACTTACATACACTCATAAGGCATACGAATGCTTTAGGAATCTCTGCGTAGCTTTGCTGTGTTATTGGGCTCTATCGTTAAAGACTTCTTTCTATATAGTATTGAACTAAATAAATCTGTGTTTTTGGCAGAAAAGAAAGCTGATTTAACAAATATTTTGTTCATGTTTTTTCCAGGTGTCCAAGTACCAAATCACTGGACCCCTCAACCAAAGGCTATGGAAGAGAGGTCAACAAAGCAGGTTATTGAAAACGACGCAGTCAGACTTTTATCCAAAGGAGATTTCCGACAAATAAACGTCCTTGAGCAACGATATGATGTTTCAGTATCGGTGGAGAAAATGCTGGAACGCATCGTAGTGCGCGGACAAAGTGACGATGTCTTTTACGTTGTGGGGGAGATCCACAAAATGTTGCATCAACTACGAGAAGAAGAGCACGAACGTAAGCGGGCAGAGGCGCTTTCAAAAGATATTCAGTGGATGTATAGTGATGGCACTAACTTCGTTCCTTACGAAACCCAGGTAAATGCCAGGATTGAGCTGGCCTATCACGATAACAAAAACACAGTGATAATTACTTCAGAAGAGGGAGACAATTACAACGTTGATTTCACCACAATGCGGGTGAACGACCCATATGGCACCATCATCACCGAGGTCAAAAGAGTTGATCGAAAAAGTAAGCTGATTTATCAAATAAATTAGAACCTTAACTCTTGTTTTTTGTAGCTTACAGTGGCTCGTTTCTAGCTGTTCTTACAGATTGAGTGCTTGTTTTCATAGATTGGTTATAACTTACCCGTCGGATTCAAGGTTTAGTTAAACCTGTTTTAGAGCCTCGTTGCCTTCTTTTAAACTTTTGTAAGACTTCCCTTATTTTACCTTTATCACTAACAGCATCACACAATCTAGTGATCTTGTCTATTCCAAGCATTAAAAAGCTTTGAAAAGGTATATACTGTTAGCAAGCCCTTTTAAGTTGTCTGGGTGACGTAGTGATGTATGGTTTGAACTGCATTCAATCTGAGAGACCTGGGTCGAACCTAACACCCTTCACCTAACTGAAACTGATTTAAACTTGTTTCTCCCGTGACGCTTGACAATTGACATAGTTTAAATTCCGTTTCGTGTCACCTTCATTTTAAACTCAGGTAATCTATGCGGTTCCTGCGTACGGGATCCTTTCCAACAGTAACGTTGCAGATTCCATGCTTAGCTTTTTGAGCAATCATGTTAAGTTTTGTTAAGACTACGCTTAAGTACACTGGTAAGGGATACGAGTGTTTTAGGAAACCCAGCGTCCCTTTTCCCTGGTATTGGGCTCTTGCAACATGACATCCTTTTATTTAGTGTTGAGCTAAATGCTTTGTTTTTAATACCAAAACTGAAAAAACAAACATTTTGTTCATTCTTTTCCAGGTGTCCAGGCACCAGATCACTGGACTCCTCAACCAAAGGATTCACAAGGTAATGAAACGACCGTACATCTTTATCAACTGGATCCTTCAAGAGATGTGCAAGAATACCAAAATGTCCAGGCTAGATTCCGGAAATCATGCGGCAACCCAGTAGTAAAGATTGAGCGAGTCCAAAATCCATTTCTGTATAGAACGTATGCAATTCGAAAGCAGAAAATGGACGAGGAAAAAGGCAGCAATGAGCAGTGGCTTTTTCATGGAACTCCAGGCACTGACTGTCAACTTATAGAGCATACAGGTTTCAACAGAAACTTTCATGGAAAAAAAGGTACGAGATGACTAGCGATTAAGTTATAGCTAATGAGATTGTTTTGTGATGAATGAACAGACGACTCCCGATTACTCGAATCTTCAAGGGAAATTTAAAAAAATCGAGTTATTTGGAGTTTGCGTTATCCGGAGTTGATGAGAACATATGACCAGAAATAAGGAAAAATCGTTGTTTACTGTATTGATATTCATACAGCATAGATTTTAATCAAATTTAATCACAGCGAAGTCTTAAGCACGCGAAGACCGTGTGTGTCCAGGTACTGCCCGGATGCAATCTTAAACAATGATCGTTTGTTTGGGTTTAGTGTTTAGGCTTTAACCAGTATGCTCCCTTCCTTCTTCCTGTCTTTCGATGGTTTCAGTAGTCTTGCCTGTTTCAGACCTGCGTTATAATTAGTTCCCATGTTCAGACCAATGTTAAAATACCGTAAACATAATTTGTCAAGGGCTTTTGTTGATTTCTTTTCGATAATGATGAAAAGATGGCTTCTTCTTAAAAACGTACCCATAACGAGGCTAGAGTGCAAAAAACATACCCTACTTATGACCAAAATGGCCAAAATCAGCTAAAATCGATACCTTATTTATGACCAAAACGGCTGAAAAACCCTACCCTTTGGGGCCGCACATACCTATAGAGCCCATATAAAGGAGTACCCCCACCCCCGGCGAATCGACTCCAAGTATTCCACTAACCGTTAGTTTTTTTCTTCTAGCGACCTTTTATGGAAATGGAGTTTACTTTGCATTGGATGCCGCCGACTCAGCCAGGTCCACGTACTCACCACCAGATGCTAACGGATGGCGATATATGTACCTCACTAGAGTCCTGGTTGGTGAGTACACATGTGGAAGACAGGGCCTTCTTACGCCTCCTGCAAAGAACCCAAACGATCCCACAGACACATTTGATAGCGTGGTGGATCACATTCATAACCCGCGAATCTTTGTTGTGTTTAACGACTGGCAAAGTTATCCCGAGTACCTAATCACTTTTCAGTGACATTCCCTATTAGTGTTTGGAAAAATGTGTTTCTTTAAAAATTATGAAAATCTCTAGCGCAGTTAAGGAGTAACCCATGCTCCAGTATTTGGCCTATCACTATCAGGGCGCTTATATGTACCCACCCCCTCCAAAAACAAAAAACAACAACAACAAAACAAAAAACCAAAACACTATTGGGGAAAAAGTAGTGACCATGTACACCCAATCATCACTAAGGTGTCACCTTAGGTGTTTTAGGTATTGTTGAAACTACAATGAAAATAACAAAAGAGTATTAAACGACGACATTTTTACAAAATGCAGGGAAATCCAATTAAACTTATCGGGCGTTACTTGAGAGTAGGTTACAAGTGACCTTTGAATGTTACAAGTTTCTCAACCATCTTTTCGTGCTAACCATGATCCTTGGCGCGTAGCAATTTGTGTGGTACATTATTATTTGTGTGGTACATTATTATCCAGCACATGATCATGGTAAAGCTAGGTTACTTAGGTCTTTGTTTGTTATGTCCCTGATAACTTGTTCAAAAGCCACTGGACCCCAAACCTATTTGTGTTGCCACGTAGTGCCTCGTACATTCATAGCGACCGTGCAATCGTTTTACATACTTAAGGCCGGTCACGTACAGCCTTGTAATTCAGTTGTTCTTCACGTGAGAGCATCTTGATAGAAGAAGCTTATGGGATAGTCTCAAACAGGGGAAGCCACAGTAGAAAGACTGGCAATATAATAAAAAAATGAGCTTTTCTCTTATTTGGCTAAGCCGTTTGGGTTTTTAAAGGTATACAAATGTATGACAGTAAGAAGCAAAGAGTAAAAGATACTCTAGCTTTCAACTAATTTTAAGTTGCCAACCTATAAGGAATTTGGGGCCTTAAGGTTTTGAGAGCAATACATTTTTTTTAGAATAAGCAGTGCCGTAGCACGGGGAGGGGCTAAGGGGGCCCAGCCCCCCCCCCCCCCCAAAAAAAAATTTTGACTATCACATAACAAAAATATTCAAAAGTAGAAAAGTAATAATGTTGGGATACTGTTGGATTCTTTTAGCGTAATTAACACTCCGGTTAACTCTAATTTTTCTTCATAACGTTTTACAACAAAATGTCCAGCACATTTTTTCTTCAAACTCTTACAAAGTTTAAAGCAGCGAAACCCGGAAGTGGTATTGGATTTTTGCGCTTGACCGCTGTAAACTGAGCCAATAATCTTGACAGGCACGTTCGGTCAGCGGCCACGCTCTTCCTGCTTGTTTTCCAAAACATTCAGCATTCGGTTCGATAAATCATGAAATGTTATGGCTTGCTGTAAACTGCTCTCAGAAGGCTGGAAAGGCTATTTTAGAGAGCCCAGATTTCAAAATCTCCCGAGGGGGCATGCCACCAGACCCCCCTAGAAGCTCGCGCCTTCGGCGCTCGGTCGGGTGCCCCCCNGGCCAGTCATGTACAGCCTTGTAATTTAGTTGTTCTTCATGTGAGAGCATCTTGATAGACGAAGCTTAGGGGGACAGTCTCAAACAGCGGAAGCAACAGTAGAAAGGTTGGCAATCATAATAACAAAAAAATTGCCTTTTCTCTTATTTGGCTACGCCATTTGAATTTTTTTTAAGGGTATACAAGTGTGACAGTAAGAAGCAAAGAGTAAATGAGACTCGAATTTGGGGCCTTAAGGTTTTGAGAGCAATACATTTTTCTTAGAGTAAGTATAGTTGAGCTTGACCTCTGTAACCAATGAAATAAACCATGTTATTAATTACCGTCTCTACTTAAATAGCCATCGCAAACTTTATCAATTTAAAACGCTTTGTCCGATTTATGCTTCTGTTAAAATGACGATCATGTTCGCCTAGGTTTAGACGCATGTTGTTCACCCGCAGCCGTGATTGGAAACAAAATCTAATGCTCTGAAAGTACTTTACTTTAGCAATTCCTGGAATTTCATTTTACAATCAACGTTATTTGCCTATTAGTTTCTACTTACTTTGAGCTTGAAGCATGTGTTTTGATATCAAAGGCAACGACTTTTATGAAGTAACCAATCATGGCTGAGCACGTGGACTCAGCCTATGTTTGGCCTATTTCTCGCGCTCAATGACTGTTACCATCAGGGCGTATATATGGGCCGCCCTGCGGTCTTACATGTATATCAAGAATGTACTTTTTTTGTTGTTTTTAAATAGGTGTAATTACGCTTAAACATTTTTGTCTTATATATCTCGCTGAATTTACAAAAACGAACTGTACGTTTATGTCAGCCAGTAACTCAGAAACTTGTAAAGAGAACGTAGCATGACAGGGGTCGAAATGTTCCCAGAGTGTTAACCTGTGTCTAGCGACAGGCAGATTATTTTTTCACCTGTCTCCACCCACATCAAACTTATTTTAATAATGCAGAGTGGCTAGTTTTACTGATGAGCATCCCTTGCTTCATGTGAGCGGACATTCTCTATGCGCAATGACTCACAGCCTGAGATAAATTTGTTTCTGCTTTTTTTCAAACTCTTTGCAGTGGGAACAGAACATCTTTCCATCCTCTGCTGAGCACAGGCGCCCATCTTTCCATTTCTCATTAAACTTGAATACTTGAACAGTATTACGTTTCGCCGTCTGTGTTTCGAAATTCTATTCTGCTTACACTTCTTCAACTTCCGCTTCTTTAGTACCTTGTTCACGCGTTAGAAAACGATCCATATTAATTACGAACTGAAAAACTGAACTCATTCCCATTTACTGTCTTTGTCATGCGCACTGCAAAGATTTTACATTTTGCTTTTATTGACTACCGTGCGAGAATTGCACTAGTGAGCACGACTGAAGGTGGAAAACAGATGAAAATATTATTCAAATCGATAAATTCTGAATTACTAAGGATTATCCTGCCTGTCGCCAGCGACAGGCATCAATATCTTTTACCTGCCACTTCCTAAAATTACCAGAAATCGACAGGTAGACAGGCAACGTTTCGACCCCTGGCTTAAATTGCAGAAAGTTTACTTAATTGAAAGTTTTAATGTGAGTAATTGGTTTGTTGGGTAGAGCTAGTTTCCAAAAATAAAGTGTTCATTTTCGAAGAGATTTATGCTTTGTGAGCTTTTCTTCGACTAAAGAGGACAAATTAATCTGTCCCGCAACACCTAAAACAGTTCATTCTGTAGAGACTTGAATAATCATTTAAAGCCTGAAAAATACTTAAAGCTTGAACTTGATTCGAACCCGTGACCTCTGCGATACTAGTGCAGTGCTCTACCAACTGCTAACTGGGAGCTGGTAGGGTTGGTAGTTCGTAATATACCCGTAGATAGTAAAGAATGCAAGTAAATATATGTAGAATAAAAAATAAAATAGAAATCAATGAGGCCGCAGTTCGATGAGTGGGCCTCACGGCGTGATCAAATGTAGAAATGGGAGTTATAGGGGTGGGGGGCGGAGGTGGTGCCGAGAACAAGAATGTATCAATAGAGAGGGAACCCCTTACGAAGCTCAGTCTAGCCACGTTAATAGAGGGTGAGAATCCTGCTGAAGCGAATTTGGGAAGCTGAGGTTTCCTCCAGAGCTAGCGAAAGCTTTAAACTTACTATTATTCTTCGGTCAATTTCAATTCACCTACTCTCGTTCGCGACCTACTAAACGGTAACTTCTCCTTTAGAAAGACATGAATTTACACGCATAACTTTCATAAAATTAAACGGCATCGACTGGAGAAGTCAGAAACGATGGGATCACTATGGACCGCAGCTTAAAGCTAAAAATATAAAGTAAATAAATTAAGATATCCTTATTAGTAAAAACAAAATATATTTCTGCAGACTGTTATTGTAATTACTCTGAAGACTTTCTGACTGTGAAAATTAAGGTTCTTGGTGGGAGGATAAACAAACAAATCGACCTAAAAATATGCTTATGGATTCATTTGGAGATTTCATGTTTTTGTATTTTGACGATGCGATCCGTATCCGATCTGGTGATCCGATCCACGATTTAATTTCGTCTTTGGTCGCGAGAACACACGCGATTTCCGAGAAACCAGACACGAGTTCCCGGTATTCGACTTCCGCTTTGGCGCCGACTAATGTCAATTTGTGTAGCAGCATCAGCGGTGACAGGCTGTCAGATTTTTCAGGAATATGATGGGCACACGACAAGGTAAGGTGAATTTTAATAAAATAGTAGAACCAAGAAAGGCTCTACGAGAATTTAATCAAACGCGCCATACTGAAATGAAGGATTACAACCATTGCTAAGTTGTGATGTGATGATGTGCTGGTCGCCTTTAGGTTAAAATCTGCGCTAGTACGGGCGTTATTTTGAATTTCAAAGAAAGTCATGAGTTCGACAGAATAAGGGGAACAATTTTCGAGTGGAGAGCCTCGATGTTTCTACGAAATGCTCTAAAAAGTGGCCGCGTATTGACTTGCCTGATATCTTCGACCGAAGTTATTCACTTTCGCTTTTCAATTCCGGCCACTTCGTCGACTGGTTCGCTGATACAAAAGCGTACTAGCTAAATTTAATTAGTTTAGTTTAAGGTAATCTAAATTACGATTAAACACTGAGTAATGAGTACTGTTGATATGATGTTTGCTTGGTTTTCGAGAACATTAAAATGGCGACAAGAAGAGACTTCGAGCATTCACCGAGATAACAATTAACCGGCTTCACTTATGTTGTTCAAATGGTAAAGCTCAATGAACCGTACCAGTTAAGCCAGCTGTGTTATGGTTTCCTATGTCATCTCTTTTGCAACAAAACTTGTGCACATGGTCATGTGCAGAGATTGTACATGTAGAAGCCAGAAATATTAAGAATACTAAATCTAGGATTGCCTAAGCCACTACCTGCAGGCAAAATGTTTATAATATGGTAAACATTAAAAAGTTAGAAGAAGTTTGATTGTAAACTTGAGGTGACTGCATTGGGAAGACTGATTTGGTGTAGGGCTGCATGGTCACTGTTCAATGTCAATATGGTTTGTCAATACGTCATTTACTATAATAAAGTATAGCTTTAGTCATCTTGGATTTCTTGAGAGGGAACCTACATGTAAGTTTACAAGGCCAGTGTTATTAATAATTAAAAAAATGGTGAGGGAGCCTAATTATTAGGCTCCCTCACCATTTTTTTCTATTATTTGCTTACTAATAATTGTAGCATTTCTTTGTTTTTTTTGTTTTTTGTTTTTGTTTTTTTATTGCAAATAATTATTATATGGCTCTGTCTCACAAGGACTGGGAACAACCAAATTCACAAATTTGATTGGCTGAAATCGATATTGAAAGTGGT